GGGGGGGGGGGGGGGCGGTCCTGAAAGCCTTTTTCAGTTAGCCCACGGTCCTGCCTTCCTCTGTTCCAGCCATTCATGCTAAAGCTGGGGGTGGAGAATTGGTACCACGCACAGGTGGAAACTCAGGAATGCATCCCATCAGAGTATCTGGCATCCAAGGAAAGGAATTTGGAAGTGCCCTCTCTGTGCCTCATTGGGTTTCCTTTGCCTTTTGTCTACTGACCCCTATTTCATTGCCCCCTAGTAGCACTGTCAGAGGTCTGAGGCCCAGGCTGACCCTTTGCCGTGTCATCTTTTTAGGATCAACTCATCAGGAACTCAGGATCTGGTACCTGCCTGACGTCCAAGGACAAAAAGCCAGCCATGGCCACCTGCAATCCCAGTGATCCCTACCAGCACTGGCTCTTCATCTAGGCCCTGGATCACCCCCCTGTGGGAGATCCCACAAGCCTCTTAGGAAACAGGATTTGGGGGAACCTGATGTTTGAGAACCTGATCATCAGTTCCCTGTCGGCCTTAAAGATGGATTTCAAACCCGATGCAAATCAAGGCAGGACCTTCCTACTCCTTGCAACAACATTGGGCCTATTTTCTTTCTTGCACGTTGGTGGAAGAGACCGTTAGAACACATAATACATTACCTAGAGCTCTCCTTCTGCCCTAGAAACAGACTTCCAAAGCAGAGGAGGCAGCTGGGCTAGAGCCCAGGGCAGCAATGCTGAATTCAAGAAAAGTACCTCTGCAGCCACGTTCTGAATCCCTGGTCATCTAGAACACCCACAGAATCCAGTGAAACAGTATATTCTACCAGAGGCATTAGAGGTCTAAGAGTCTCCCTTGCTAACATTACCTGAAGCTCCTTGACAGGAATCCTTTACCTTGTTTTATCTGCACGATAGTCCCGTGAGAAAGACAGGAACCACCGTGCCCATTTTATAGACAAGAACGCTGAGGCAGAGAGAAATAAAGGAGCTGGTCTGTATCCTGAACCTGGGCTCCTCCCACCACACCACTAGAACACTAGGCAACTAGCCATCAGCTCCGCACTCTCTCTTGCCTCCAGTCTGATCATTTCTGGCTGGCTGGTCTCCATAAAGCCTAGAGCAGTGCATCCAGGTAGCCGTGAGGGAGACCATATTTAGGAATCCTGGAATGTTCGTTTTGAAAGAAAGCTTGTGGAGCCAGTGATTCTCAGGTTTAAGTCCCAGAACCTTTTTTCAGTGCTCCATGTATAATGTAGTTCAGAAGCAAAATAGCCACGGATGAAAACGAGGGTGGGTGAGGGCATTGCCCACCAGCCCCTCAACTTTTCTAAAAGTCTGCAAGCACAATTTGAAAATCATCGTTTTAGTCCAACCCTATCATTTTCATATTATGAAACCAAGGCCAGATAAGTGAAGTTATTTGCCCCAGGCCACACAACCAGTATCGGCAGCCCTGAGGCTAGGACCCAGATAAGGCTAACAAGAGCCCTGGGAAGTCTGAGGAAGCCGGGACAGCAGGTAGTGTGGAGCACGACTGCGTGATGCCTTGTCTGCGGTTCTCAAGTGAACTCCCCGCACAGAGCAGACCTGCCGTGCGTGTCGGCTCTTCCCCAAGCAAGTTGGACCCCACCACGCATGGCTGCTTTGCCTGAAGTAGAGAGCCCAGCTGCCCAGAGGACTCATTCCTTCTTGGAGGGCTTCCTACTTTGAGTAGCAGGCTGTCATCTTGGATAGCACCACATGAGGGTGCCGTGGGACCACAGCTGCCTCTGCTTCCCACGCAACTCCCTGCTGCAGGAAGTCTAGGTCCCGTGGGGTAGCCCAGCCAAAGGGAAAGGAGAGAGTGGCCAGGACGTGTCCTGGAGTGGGGAAAGGGGAAAGTTCTTTCCCAGAGAGAGAAGAGAATCGCACATGAGATCCCACTGGAAATAAAGGTTTTATGGCATTGGTAAAGGAAGTTTGCACTGGGTTCCTCCTCCCCTGCTATGCCCCTTAGCTGATCCGTTTGGAGGATCAGTTGATTCAAGCTGTGAAGAATCACACACATCTGAAAAGTTCTGTCACAGCCACTGTCTCGGCTCCAAACATCCTCTGGCCCCCCCATCTAGCCTACACGCTGTGTCAAGCACATGTAGGCATGAGGAGATAATAAGGCTCTTCCCCCATGGAACTCATAACTTCAGCTGGGAAAACAGAGATGTAAGCAAGTCATGCCAAGCCTGGAGATGTTCAGAGATGTGCTACATGAATGAGAACAATTCCTTTCATTGAAGGAAGCCTCACAAAGTTGGTGACATTTGACCTTAGACCTCAAAGGATGGATCCTCAGGTAGGAAGAGCTCAGTAAGCAAAGGTCTCAAGTGTGAGAAGAGTCACAGAGGGACAACAGTACAAGTGGATGCAGGGAACCAGGAGGACTGAAGGGTGAGGGCACAGTGAACGTAGAAGCTAGAAGGTCAGGACCACACTATGGCTTTCATGAGCCCTAGGCACTTGTGCCTTCATTAAAAAAGTGGTAAAGAGTATGTTTTACAACTGCATTGATATAACAACAAATATAATCCAGGATGATTGTATTCTGATTTTAAAAGAAACAAACATTCTTGTGGGCCTAAAAAGTACTGTGGGGGCTTCCCTCGTGGCGCAGTGGTTGAGAGTCCGCCTGCCGATGCAGGGGACACAGGTTCGTGCCCCGGTCCGGGAAGATCCCACATTCCGCGGAGCGGCTGGGCCCGTGAGCCATGGCCGCTGAGCCTGTGCGTCTGGAGCCTGTGCTCCGCAACGGGAGAGGCCACGACAGTGAGAGGCCCGCGTACTGCAGGAGAAAAAAAAAGTATTGTGGGCCTCAGGCAGTGTACCTGCTGTGCTTACTGGGTTAGACAGCCCTGTAAAACAGTGGCTTGGGCCCAACTGAAAAGGCTTTGAATGCCATGCTAATAAGTCCAGTAAATCCTAGGGAGCCTTAGTCCTTAACTCCAATCTTAGCCCTACTCTTGGTTGCATTCAACATCCAGACATTTATCAGGCACTGTTTGTTTGCCATTTATCCTAATATCACTCGTACTCTCTATAGCATCACTCAAGAGCTCTCCAGCCCGATCTCACGACGCATGCCCAAGTGAGGAGCCCTGCTGTGGTGCGCAGTTTCCTCACCCCGACCACACAGCAGCAGAGCATCTCGCAAGGGCGGTCAGCTAAGGGTAACCCACGGGGACTGAGAGATGCAGCAGGTTTGGGGGTGAAGGGAGGACTAGGGAAGAGAGGTGCTCGAGAAGAGGGAGTGGGCACGAACAGGGAGGTGGGAGGACTCAAGAAACCAGCTTCTTGGCCTCCCCTTAGCCAAGGATGGCCTTGCCCTAACCCCACATCTGCACTATTAAAATCCACCCCTCTGACCATTCTCAGGCTAACCTAAAACCTTAAGTCCTGCTTAAAATCTTTTTTTTTATTTATTTATTTTTGGCTGCGTCAGGTCTTCGTTGCTGCACGCGGGCTTTCTCTAGTTGCGGCGAGCAGGGGCTACTCTTCGTTGTGGTGCGTGGGCTTCTCATTGCAGTGGCTTCTTGTTGCAGAGCACAGGCTCTAGGTGTGCAGGCTTCAGGATTTGTGGCTCACAGGCTCAGGAGTTGTGGCTCACAGGCTTAGTTGCTCGGCAGCATGTGGGATCTTCTTGGACCAGGGCTCGAACCTGTGTCCGCTGCATTGGCAGGTGGATTTTTAACCACTGCGCCACCAGGGATGCCCAAGTCCTGCTTAAAATCTTGATGCTAACTAGCCCTGTGTTACTATCTTCTGGCTCCGGCAACCTCTCTCCCCTTAGCACTGCATGGCTCGTCTCCTCCGGGGATCTATTTCCCACTTGAAGAGTATTGGCGCCATTGCCAAAAATAGATAGATGTCCCAGAATATATTCTTATTTTTAATTACAAAAATAAGGGACTTCCCTGGCAGTCCAACGGTTAAGGCTCCTCACCTCCAATGCAGGGGACACGGGTTCGACCCCTGGCCGGGGAGCTGAGATCCTGCAAGCCATGCAATATGGCCGAAAAATTACAAAAAAAAGAAAAAGTGAAATTGATCCTCACGACGCTGCCATACCTATTGATTCATTCTCTAGAAGTAATAACTTCTAGAAAAGTAATAATTTCTAGGTATAAACCTTCTCTACCCTTTTTCTATGAATATACATAATATATAAATACACACACACAGAGTACCATATTGTTTGAAACTTGATGTCTTCATTTAATACACCAAGGACATCTTTTCATGTCAGGTCATTTAAGTCTAACTCATTCTTTTTAAAAGCTGGATAGGGCTTCCCTGGTGGCGCAGTGCTTGAGAGTCCGCCTGCCGATGCAGAGGACGCGGGTTTGTGCCCCGTTTCGGGAAGATCCCACATGCCGCGGAGCGGCTGGGCCCGTGAGCCATGGCCACTGAGCCTGCGCGTCCGGAGCCTGTGCTCCGCAAATGGGAGAGGCCACAACAGTGAGAGGCCCGCATAACGCAAGAAAAAAAAAAAAAAAAAAAAAAAAGCTGGATAGTATTGGGATTCCTTGGTGGTGAAGCCCTGGTGGTTCGATCCCTGGTCCGGGAAGATCCCACATGCCGCGCAGCAACAAAGCCTGTGTGCCACAACTACTGGACCTGCGCTCGAGAGCCCGCGAGCCACAACTACTGAAGGCCGTGCGCCTAGAGCCCATGCTCCACAACAAGAGAAGCCACCGCAATGAGAAGCCTGTGTACTGCAACGAAGAGTAGCCCCCGCTCACCGCAACTAGAGAAAGCCCACATGCAGCAACGAAGACCCAATGCAGCCAAAAATAAAAACAAATAAATAAATTTTTTTAAAAGCTGGGTAGTATTCCTTAATATGATTAAACCCAGTTTCTCTAACCTTCCCCTATTGATGAATACTTGGGTTTTTCCCAATTTTGCAACAAACTTTATGACAAACTACACAAAGTTTGGTGACAGACTACACTAGAACCCACATCCTTGTACGTTTATTTTTGTGCCCGTGTTTATTTCAAAAGGATACATTCCTCTTGGACAACACGCAGTGCCTCAGAATGAAAGCCAAAGCCCTCTACACCTCACCCTAAGAGGAGGAAAAGAGTCTGACCGGCGTGGGAGATGAGGCTGGGTGTGTAGATTACTCAGTGGCTTGGGAGCATTAAGTGCAATCCTAAACAGTTTGGTATTTAAGCAAATACAGATTAGGCTTCGCCAAGGGTACAGCGATGGATGTGATATTGACCCTGCACTCAAGGGCTCACTTTGGAGTCTGTGATGTGGAGGGGTAACCTTTAAGAAGCCCTTGAGCCTCCTCTTGGATTCCTGATCCTGGGGGCTAGAGCCATCTCCCTATTCTCCAGAGGAGGCCACGGGGGTGGGGTCGGGGGGGGGGGGGGGGGGGGAATGACAAAGGAGGCCCGGATTCCCCAGCCAGCTCAACCCTTTCCCCCCCCCCGGGGGGCTTCTTTGGATTAGAATGTTGGGGTGGGGCTGGAGAGGGAGCCCTTAGTGCAATTCCCACCCATCACCCCCCCACCCCACCCCCAGCTCAAGGTCCTGAAAAGGTGATCGTCTGTACAGAACTCCTTCCTCAGCCTTTTCCAGGCCTCTCCCACACCTGCAGGCATGAAACGAATTCTGGAGTGTCTAGGCAACAAAAGCCCCCAGGTGAACTGGCATACTTTCCCGCCTGCCTCCCCCTGGGCTTCTGGCTTCTCTCAGCCTAAGTCGCAGCTCCACCCACAGTCCTTGCTCTGGGACCTCCCAACCCAAAGTTCTCTGCCCGTCGCAAGGCCCGCGGCACCTCGCTCCGTCCCCCTCTCCTGACTCCGACGGCCAGAGCCTCTCATCTCCTGCAGGACACTCCTGCCCTGCAACTCCTGCTCTCCTGCTCTCCACGCTCATAGCACGCAGATGAGCTCCCTATCCCGAGAGCTTCCTCTTCTCACCGACACTCTCCTCTGGGAGCTCTCTTTTATCTGCTCTCCAGATGAGTCTCCCCAAACCTGTTTCCTAGTGAAACAGGAGTGCAGGGGGCAGGGCACAACCTTTGAAAGAATGATACAGCCCAGAGGACACGACATAAACTTATTAGAACCAAATGGGTCCAAGACGGCAGACAAGTCGACTTCCACTAGACCTTCAGCCTCAGGTTACGTTCATTGTAACACGTCAAGCTAAATGGCACACCCACAGGTGCCGTGACAGTTCTGAGACCAACCATAAGTATCAAAAAGTGGGCCACCGCCCAATTCCTGGAAATCCCCGCCCCTTCTTAAAATAGCTGGAATACTCCTCCCACTCATTAGCCTATGAAATTACCCACTCCTATAAAAACTGACAACCCCATACTCTGAGGCCTTTCTTGCATTCTGAGATGGCCCACGCTCTGTGGAGTGTGTTTCTCTCTAAATAAATCCACTTCTTAACCTATCACTTTATCTCTCACTGAATTCTTTCTGCAATGAGACATCAAGAACCTGAGCTTCATTAAGTCCTGAAACCAGGTGTGCGATCTCAGTTGGCAGACTGTGGGTTTTGGCCGGGGCTCGAGGCCCAGCCGCGTGGGTTCGAGTCCCAACCCGTGGTGCGCGTTCTCGCCACTGCAGCTACTCTGCTTTTGTCTCCTTGCATCTACACCACTGTCTGCGTCCTGGGGGCACGTGCCATTTCCCTCTTTGCTGTCTCTTCTTTCTTCTTGCTCTCCTTGCACACTTCCCTCCTCCAGCCCCCCATGCCTCCAGCCCCTGGTGCACAGGGTAGGTCTCTGCACTGACAGTGCCCCCCCCCCCGAGGGCAGTGAGACGGTGGCAGGCTACGAGCAAGCGGAGCATCCCAAGGGAAATGCCAGTCCTGGCTCTCCATCTAATTTCTTTTCTTTAATATTTTTTTAACATCTTTATTGGAATATAATTGCTTTACAATGGTGTGTTAGTTTCTGCTTTATAACAAAGTGAATCAGTTATACATATACATATGTTTCCATATCTCCTCCCTCTTGCATCTCCCTCCCTCCCACCCTCCCTATCCCACCGCTCCAGGCGTTCGCAAAGCACCGAGCTGATCTCCCTGTGCTGTTCCATCTTACTTCTGAAAAAGACTTAGTTGGATGCTTTTCAACTGAAAGAGATGATTAATTCAGCCCTGACCTTGTTTTGTCTTTGTTCATAGATAAATTCTTTTACTTGAAGAGAAACCTTTTCGTTTGTGTTTCGTATCACCTGTGATTTTCCCTGCTTTCCACCGGCGGCCCTGCCAGTTGACAGGAAGGTCAGCAAAGCTGCTGATAAGCGGAGATTAAAAGAGGGCTTGGTTCGTGGCAAGGGGGCAGTGGTCTACTTGCTGGCAACATGCTGCGCTTGCTGGTGTTCACCACGCTGGTCCTTCATGGTAAGTGGGTCATCTGGCTGGAGTTCTGTAGGGAGGGAGATTGAGCAGGAGGGTTGGAAAGCTTTCCTTAAGCCCAAGTCTGCTCTCTATCCCAGGATGGGAAGGAGACCCAGCCTGTGAGTCTAGCGAAAACTTTGTTCTCCTGGAGCCCATGATAGAAAAGGTCGGGGGCCTCTGCTTGAAAGGCCCCTGAGCCATGAAGCAGAGAGAAGCCTCTTCCAGAGCCCTGGGCTCCCCCACCAACCCCACTGATAGGAAGACATCCTCAGCGGGCATCTGGTGGCATGTGCACTGCTGTCCCTGCCCCCTGGAGAATCCCGCCAAAGCACTGTGTGTGGGAGGGGGAGGGTGGGGTCAGGGGTGGGGGGTAGGGAGCGGGGAGTCACCTCAGGCCAAGGGGTGACCCTAAGCAAGGCTGAGACCATGAGGAACCTCTGGGGCCTGGCACGGCAATGTGAGATGGGTCCTTGTAACATGCCAAAGTTCTGGGGACACGTAGGGGAAGCAGAAAAACAGAAGGCGCTTAGACTTATCTGCTTTCAAAAGGGGCCCAGAGAACTCACAGCTGGGCCCCTCATTTGCTGGGGAGGAACTGTGAGTTTGCAGACAAAGCAAAACTGCCACCCGCCCTCCCACCCTGAGCTGACCCCATGCTTAGTCATCACTCACTTTTCTTCTGCCCCACAAAGGACATAGTGCCCAGGACTTTCCAGAAACCAACGCCCGGGTAGTTGGAGGGACTGAGGCCCAGAGGCATTGTTGGCCCTCTCAGGTGGGTGTTCCTTCACAGCCCCAGACTGCCAACGAAATAAGAGTTGCCCGTGTCCTGATATGCAATATTATGTATGTTTGTGTATATCCTTATCAACAGGAAGCTCTCCAACCGCCTGGATTCTAGCTTTAAAAGATGAATGGGACGAGGCTTAGGAGTTTTTTTCTAAATGCAAAAGGCTTGGAGGAAAGGATTTAAACACCAACCACACTCACTCTCCCAGGCACACACCCAAACACAAACCACATTTACACTCCCAGCAATACCCCTTGTGCCACACTAGCAAGACTGTGTGCCAGACCCACACCTCAGACTCTACACACCTTCACACATACACACACACACACACACACACACACACACACACACACCCCACTCCACGCAATTCGTGTCACACACGCAAACCTCTGCCCCCAAATGGAGCACGTTGCTCATTTGGCTATTTAAAGAGTTTCCACTTTCAAAATAGGGCAGCTAGGCTGTGATTTAAGCAATTCTAAAAGTGTAAAACTGGCAAATTCACTGGTGAATAGCTATACTTTGAGAGAAATCACTGCGATTAGAATTAAATTCAATTTACAAAAGTTTGTGCCCCAATTTTCAGGGGTAGAGCTATTGTGTGATATGAGGCAATGAAGGAGGAGGCGTGAACTCATAAAAATGAATGCTCCGGTGGTGTTTCTAAGTATCTGCTGGGGTGAGGGGACAGGGTGTATCTTAAAAACTTCAGAGGGGAGTTCTGGGGACCTAAGTTTGTGGCTTAGGTGATGGAACAATTCCATGGCTACATTTCCTTCCCAAGAGGGAATGGAGGCAGAAGGACCTGGGTTCCTGGCCCTTTGCAATAATATAGTGTAAGGATGCTGAATGCACTGTGTGTGTATGTCTTTACTCCCCATTCAGTGTACACAGCAAACATCACCAGACGACGGAGCACTCTTTTCTGCTGCTCCCAGGGGCATCTACACGCCTCTTCTCACCACTACTCCAGGTAGCCACTACCAACCAATTAATAGCAACAGGTCAAATGAATACAATTCGCCATCTCTAGCCCAGAAAGTTGGAGGATGTTTTGAGGTATGGCAGGAGTTTAAGGAGGTAACACGTGGCTTGGGTCAATGCCTTTCAAGAATCACCAACCTATCCCTCTTTTCTTCTCTCCCCATCTAGATTTCCCTCCAGTACCAGTCTGGAGGTTCCTGGTTTCACATCTGTGGAGGGACCCTCATCAGATGGAACTGGGTGATGACAGCTGCTCACTGTGTGGACAAGTGAGAAAAACAAAGACCAGCTTTTCTGAGCCCCTGGGAGGGGAAAAGTCTGGTCCTTCTGGAGGAATATGTATCTTTGACCGCTCAGGGCAAGACTTTAAGGAGGTGTTGGGGGGCCTGCAGGGAGGTAGTAGGATATAATGGAAAGTACAAACTATGATGTCAGGCAAACTCGGGTTCACCTCCTGTCCCAGCTTCTTCTAGCTATGTGAACTTGGATGGCTTACTTAGCTCTCTAAGCTCTCACTCTCTTATCTCAACCTACTTTGTAGAATTATTGTGAGAATTAAGTAGGTAAATATTTAAGTGCCTAATCAACGCCTGACTGGTAACCATTTTTTCATATTTATCGTGAGCAGTGGTTCTTAAATTTGAGCATGGATCAGAATCACCTGCAAGGAACAGATTACTGGGCCCCGCACAGTAGAGTTTCTGATAGGAAGGTCCAGGTTGAGGCCTGATAACCTGCATTTCTGACAAGTTTCCAGGTTATATTGATGCTGCTGGTACAGGGACCACGCTTTAAGAACTGGTCTAGGACTTCCAGTGGTTAAGGCTCCATGTTTCCAATGCAGGGGGCATGGGTTCAATCCCTGGTCGGGGGGGTACTAGGATCCCACATGCCATGTGGTGTGGCCAAAAAATTTTTAAAACAAAAGAACTACTGCTACTGGTCTAGAAGTTTATATGTCCCTCGAAATCCCTTTATGGGCTGAGAGCCATTATTTCATTTATGCTCACCACACCTCTCCCACGTTGTGAGATATTCAGCCTCTGATGTTTAGCTTAGTAAATTGGGAAAATGAAGTTGATGGTAGTTTTTGTCACTTCCACAGGTTAGCAAATTGGGGATGAGAGGGTTGGTTACTTCCTCATCTTCCAGGGTCTTCCATCCTTCCACTGCCTGGGCCAGATAAGATGGATTCCTGTCCTAAAGATGAGATGTAAGATGGCTTCCCAACTTTTCTCTAAGAGGGGAAAAAGAAGGATCACTCGGGGCTTCCCTCTCTCCCTCCAGACAAATGAGCTTCCGTGTGGTGGTTGGAGACCACAACCTGAGCCAGAACGATGGCACCGAGCAGTACATGAGAGCACAGGATCAAGGTGCATCCCTACTGGAACAGCAATAATGTGGCTGCAAGGTAGGGGCAAGGCGGGGCTGACCTGGGGCTGGGAGGTGGAGGGCTGACCGGCCAGCCATGGGGTCTTGGCTTCCTTCACATTCATCCAGAAGGACTCTGAGAATTAAGATGTTGGAGGACTTGAGAATGTTTGAAGATCTTTGGGGATTTGTTTGATCTACGCTGGTTTGCGTGATTGGATCCCCTGAATCTCCTTCTCTGCAGCTTAATGTGTCTGTTTTTATTGTTAGTTATTCTTCATTTTATGGAATAGACTCCATCAGCAAAAGTAGATTCCTTAAAATGAATCTCACAGTGAGAAAGCTCCTGCAAGACTGAGCGGTAGACTTGTGGGAAGGAAGTATTTAGATGGCAGCCAATTCTGCAGCGTGGGTTCAAGTAATTCGGATATTTCTGCAGAGCATTTGACATCCTTCTCTGAGAACTCTTCTCTGCTATGAAGATCAAAGCACTCTGCTCCTTTCCGAGTCCCCATTCACAACCGAAAGAAGCGAGCTCCACACCCCCTGGGTTGCAGGCCAGAGCTAGGCGACAATGCTGAGACCTCACCAGCAGGGGCTGCTGTTAAACGTAGAATATCCTACAATCCAAATGCGTAGCTCCTCGAATTTGAGTCTTGGCGAGTCAGTTCCCTCCTTCTTCGAAGTCATTGGTTTCCAATTCCATGGGCACACAAGGCTTAGGGAGGGCTTGTCCCTATGCTGACTTAAAGGAAGGCCCGGTCCTGCAAGCCAGCGGTCTCCTTTCCTCCCGCAGCTATGACATCGCCCTGCTGCGCCTGGCCCAGAACATTACCCTCAACAGCTATGTCCAGCTGGGTGTTCTGCCAAAGGAGGGAACCATCCTGGCTAACAACAGCCCCTGCTACATCACAGGTTGGGGCAGGACCATGAGTAAGTCGCCTACATTAGCACCATCCACCACATGGATCTTGATTAGGTAGCTGAGCTTCTGGGGCACTTTTTCTGTGGTCCTAGGTGTTCAGAGCCAAAGACCAGGAACCAGAGATAAAATAACTGGTTCATGAAATCAAGCTAAGAACAAGCCATGGAATAGTCAATTCAGAAATTCTCAGATTCTTATAACCAAAAAAAAAAAAAAAAAAGATAGACACCTTACCTCAGAGAGTATTTTGTTACCAGCCTCTCATTTTATACATAAGGAAACTGAGGCCCAAAGAAATTAAAGACCTTGTTCAAGATCACATGACCAGGGAATTCCCTGGTGGTCCAGTGATTAAGACTCTGCACTACCATTGCAGGGGGCCAGGTTCGATCCCTGGTCAGGGAACATAGATCGGGCATGGCACAACTAACAGCCTGCAACTAAAAGATGACACATGCCACAACTAAAAGATACCTCATGCCACAACTAAAAGATGCCTCATGCCGCAAAGAAGATCTCTCACACAGCAACAAAGATCCCGTGTGCCGCAAGTGAGACCTGGCACAGACAAATAAATAATTTTTTTTTTTTTTCTGGTACGCGGGCCTCTCGCTGTTGTGGCCTCTCCCGTTGCAGAGCACAGGCTCCGGACGCGCAGGGTCAGCGGCCGTGGCTCACGGGCCCAGCCGCTCCGTGGCGTGTGGTATCTTCCCAGACCAGGGCACAAACCCGTGACCCCTGCATCGGCGAACTCTCAGCCACTGCGCCACCAGGGAAACCCAATAAACAAATATTTTTTTAAAAAAATCACATGACTAGTTAGTAACTAGTTAGCTGGGGCCAGAACACAGGTATCCTGGCTTCTGCTTTGGTGGTCATTACACCGTCACACTACCTTCATAGACAGTCTATAGGCTGTGGGTTGGAGTGAATGAGCCAGGGGTGGCTGCAGGTCCAGAGAAGTCGAGGCAGAGGAGGCCTCAGCTTCTTCCGGTCAATCATGGGAAGATTTCTGGGAGGAAAAGTCATTAGATGACATGGAAAGGTGGGAGAGGCTATGAGCAGAGATAGTTAACAAGAGTAGAGACAGCAGACCTGGCACAGAAGGCTGTCAGCCGTCAGAGGATCTGAGCTCTGGAGGAGAGGCAAGGCCTTGCTGGGTACAGCCAGTCTACTGGGGAAACCTGGGGCTGAGAGAGACACATGCTTCTAATCCAGCTCTGCTCCCAGTTCACTCAATGTCATTGTAGTTCAATTTCCTGATCTATATATAACATGAAAGGATTGTTGTAAGTATCCAAAGAAGTAATTCATGTGCAAATGCTTTGAAAAGTCAAAAAATGCAGATAGGGCTTCCCTGGTGGCGCAGTGGTTGAGAGTCCGCCTGCCGATGCAGGGGACACGGGTTCGTGCCCCGGTCCAGGAAGATCCCACATGCCGTGGAGCTGCTGGGCCCGTGAGCCATGGCCACTGAGCCTGCGCGTCCGGAGCCTGTGCTCCGCAACGGGAGAGGCCACAACAGTGAGAGGCCCGTGTACCGCAATAAATAAATAAATAAATTAATTAATTAATTAAAAATGCAGATAAAGGAAAGCTCTTAAGAAATGGAAACAAGGGTACATAGTCCCAGTTCTGCTTCACAGGGTTTACAGTGTAAGGAGGAAGCAGGACAGATAAGTTATTAACAGATAAGACCATTCTAGTTACTTAATTAAGGAATCCATAAGATTTATAAAAAAAAAAAAAAAAAAAAAAGGCAGGCGTAGGATTAGTGGTTTGGAACCTGGGAACAGTAGTCAAGGATGACTCCTTAAAGGAAGGTACCTGTAGCTTTTATATAAAGAGAGACAAAAGGAGGATCTATGACATCCAATGGGCAGAGAAAAGGAACTTGCCCTGACCTCAGCTTTCATCAGAGCTTGGGAAGGTTTGGCCGGGCGTGGAAGGTCTTTTTTCCCTGGATAGCATCTGGGGCTGACCTCCAATGCTGTATGTCCTGTTCAGCCAATGGGCAGCTGACCCTGCAGCAGGCTTACCTGCCCACCGTGGACTACGCCACCTGCTCCAGCTCCTCTTACTGGGGCTCCACCGTGAAGAATACCATGGTGTGCGCTGGAGGAGACGGAGTTCGCTCTGGATGCCAGGTGAACACAGGCGGGAAGCGTCAGAAGTCTCACCCCAGGTCCCTCCCCTCTCTGTTTCCCATCCCCCACCTTTTACTCACCTATTTCACACCTACTCCCACCCCTATGTACAGACTAAACTTTGTATTCTAGCATCTGAAGGAGAATGATTCGGTGCTACTAGGTCTATATTCACAGAATCTCCAAGTTTAAAGGAACCTTAAAATTCATCTTGCCTGTTGCCCTCCCCCACCTCACAAGTTTGTATGTGGCCCAACATTTGTGTGTGGGTATATGTGAGTGTTCTTTAGAAGTTATTTGTGCCTTAGATTTTTTTTTAATAAATGTATTTTTTTATTTTTATTTATTTTTGGCTACGTTGGGTCTTTGTTGCTGTGCGTGGGCTTTCTCTAGTTGCAGCGAGTGGAGGCTACTCTTCTTGTAGTGCATGGGCTTCTCTTGTTGCGGAACACGGGCTCTAGGTGCGTGGGCTTCAGTAGTTGTGGCTTGCGGGCTTAGTTGCTCTGCGGCATGTGGGATCTTCCCGGACCAGGGCTCGAACCTGTGTCCCCTGCATTGGCAGGCAGATTGTTAACGACTGTGCCACCAGGGAAGCCCCTGTGCCCTAGATTTTTAATGGTTGCCATGGGGATAGTCCTGGAGTGGTGGTTGTAATTGTGTATAAGTTAGCTCCCCTCCCATCAACCCCAATTTTTCTTACACCTCCTCCACCACCACCCTTTTAACCCAATATTATTGATAGCAGAATGTATACAGGTGAATATGGTAGGGGAAAGTGCACAAAATAGTTTTATAATAGTATATATAACTATATATATAAATCACCTTCTATTTAGACAAGATCAATCAGCAATGCACCATCTTACAGATTTCTTTCTTTTTTTTTAATTTTTATTGGAGTAGAGTTGATTTACAATGGTTAGTTTCAGGTGTACAGCAAAGTGAATCAGTTATACATATACATTTATCCACTCTTTTTTTTTTTTTTAGATTCTTTTCCCATATAAGCCATTACAGTAGAGTTCCCTGTGCTATACAGCAGGTTCTTATTAGTTATCTATTTTATATATAGTAGTGTGTATATGTCAATCCCAATCTCCCAATTTATCCCTCCCCCACCCTTATCCCCTGGTGACCATAAGTTTGCAGATTTCTTAATGCAGTTCAACAAATATTCTTGATCATCTGCTAAATACTAGGCACTGTGTTTGATTCATCTTTGTATTAAAGATACAAAAGATACAAAGATAAATATAAACACAGTGTCTAGTGGAAGAATGGGAAGAGCAGACATAGGACAGAACATTGTAATACAATGTGGTTAAGTGTTATAACAAAAATATGCATAGGGTGATATGGGAGTTCAAAAGATAGGTACTTACCTCTGCCTGTTGGTATCGGAAAAGACTTGCCTTCCCTGAGAAACTAGAGTCTGTACTGAGTCATAAAGCTTAAACAGGAGAAAGCCAGGCAAAAAAAGAGGAAAAGATATTCAGAGAGAGGGAACATGAAGAAAGGCATGGCCCAAGAACCTAGAACACATAGAGAATTATAGGGCATTCCCTACCGTTAGAGCAGAGGTCAGGGCCCACAGCCTCCAAGCCCAGCTTGCTGCCTGTTTTTACATGGTCCATGAGCTAAGAATGTTTTTCACATTTTTTAATGGTTGGGAACAAATTAAGAAAGGAATAATATGTCATGGCACGTGAAAAATATAAAATTTAAGTGTTCGTTAAAAAAAACTTTTATTGGAATACAGCCTTACTTGTTCATTACATATTGTTTATGGCTGCTTTCATAGAGTTGAACAGTTGCAAGAGAGACTGGCCTGCAAAGCCTGAGATATTTACCCTTTGGCTCTTTACAGAAAAAGTTTGCTGACCTCTGAGCTAGAACATAAACTATTACCATACTAGGGAATGTCAGGAGATGACACTAGAGACAGGTAGGAGCCACACGACTTAGGCCTTCAAATGTCATGCTTGGGGACATGAACCATTATCTTAGGCACTGGAAAACCACTGAAGAGTTCTAAACAGGAGAACAGCATGATCAGATTTGCCTTTTAGAAGCACTCTCTGATGACAAGGTAAGCAGGTTTTTGTTTTGTTTTTTTTTGCGGTACGCGGGCCTCTCACTGTTGTGGCCTCTTCCGTTGCGGAGCACAGGCTCCGGACGCGCAGGCTCAGCGGCCATGGCTCACGGGCCCAGCCGCTCCACGGCATGTGGGATCTTCCCGGACCGGGGCACGAACCCGCATCCCCTGCATCGGCAGGCGGACTCTCAACCACTGTGCCACCTGGGAAGCCCTAAGCATGTTCTTGAAGAGAGCAAAATTAGCAGGCAGACTGCTTAGGAGACTTGCAATTATCTAGGCAAGAAATCTGAGGGCCCGAATTAGGGCAGTGGAGAGGAGGAAGGAGGATCAAGAATGACTTCCAGGCATCTGATTTAAGTGATTTGGGGGAGGTGTTTGTTGCCTCTATGAGACAATATTTACAGGATTTTGGAGGGAAGGTTGAGTCTGACAAGTTGAGTCTGAGATCCCAGTGGGACATTCAGCTATAGTTAACTAGTAAGAAACTATATATAAAGAGAGTGGAGCCTGAAGGAGAAAGCTAGGCTAGAGATAAGCTTAACGGGGAAATGAGATCCCTCAAAATCCCCCACCCCCCATCCCCACCTCCCCCAGGGAAAAATTGTAGAATGAGGAAGAAAAACAGCTGGGGGGAAGAACTGTGATAACATAAATATTTGAGTGCTTCAGAGATAGTTGGAGGACAAAGGAGCCGTAGGGATCTAAAAAAGAGATAAGAGAAAAGCATAGTAAATAAAGGTTTCACAAAATCTCAGGAAATACTGATAGGTCATCACATAGTATGCATTGCAGCCAGGAGCCATGGCGGATAACTGAAAGTGGCTACAGGTCACTGGTAACTACAGCTAGAACAGTTTCAGTGGAGTGGTGAGGGCAGAAGCTCGATTGAAGGGTAAGGAATGAAGAGGCAACACTGGGTCATTTGTAGAGATGTGGATGGACCTAGAGTCTGTCATACAGGGTGAAGTAAGTCAGAAAGAGAAAAACAAATATCGTATATTAACACATATATGTGGAATCTAGAAAAATGGTACAGGTGAACCTATTTGCAGAGCAGGAATAGAGACGCAGACGTGTGGACATGGGGCAGGGGGCAGGGAAGGGGCGGGTGGGATGAACTGGTAGATTAGGTTTGACATAAATGCACTACCATGTGTAAAATAGATAGCTAGTGGAAACCTGCTGTATAGCACAGGGAGCTCAACCCAGTGCTCTGTGATGACCTAGATGGGTGGGATGGGTGGGGGGGAGGGAGGTCCAAGAGGGAGGGATATATGTATACATATAGCTGATTCACTTCGTTGTACAGCAGAAACTAACTCATTGTAAAGCAATTATACTCCAATTTAAAAGAAAGAAAGAAAGAAACATAGCAAAGAACGTAGAATACTCTTTCAAGAATCTTGGATGACAGTGAGGAATTTTACAAGTCTGGTAGCTTTAAGGAGGATGACAGTCATGGAGGGGGTGGATCTTTTAAGAGGGAAGAAAACTGAGTGTGTTTCTGGGCAGAGAGGAAAGGATCCTCTAGAGTTGGAGAGAGGGAAAAAATGGGAGACACAAGATCCCGGAGGAGAAGAAAGAGATGAACCAAGAGCACAGGTGGAGCTGGCCTTGAACAGAAAAGGGACACAACAATGTGCATGGACATGAAAGAGAGTGCAGGCTGGGTAGCTGGAAGTTGGCAGGTGTTCTGCAATCTTGCTTCTATTTACTCATGAACTAGGAGTCAGATTAAATGCTGAAAATGAAGGGGCAAGGGTTGTTCGTGTCTGGATTGATTAAGGTGAATGGGTTTAGAAAGACTGGCCTCCACCATGTTACTGATATAGGCTGAGGTTGGAGACCATGCAATAATCATAATGGATATATGATTCACTCCATTCAAAGATCTAGTTGTAGGGAATGGATTAATCCAGGGCTGGGTTTTCATGCATTATTGGGACATAAAGACAAGATTGCAGATCAAAAGCAAGCTCCAAGCTAGGTGCAGAAGGAGGCTGGTAGGCTGGCTGAAATAGTAGAATCAAAGATTAAAGGGTTTTTTGTGTGTTTGTTTTAAAGATTTTTTTTTTTTTTTTTTTTTTTTTTTTTTTTTTTGATGTGGACCATTTTTAAAGTTGTCACTGAGTTTGTTACAATATTGCTTTTGTTTTATGTTTTGGCCCTTTGGCCGCAGGGCATGTGAGGTCCTGGCTCCCCAACCAGGGATGGAACCCACACCCCCACCCCCGCACTGGAAGGCTAAGTCCCAACCACTGGACCACCAGGGAAGTCCCTAAAGGGTTTTTTTTTGTGAGCATTTAGAACTATGGAAGTAAGGTGAGCAACTCATCCCAATTTTCCCAGGACTTCCCCGGTGTCAACTGAAAACAAAACAAAACCGCACAGCCTAAAAGTTGAGAGTTATGTTTTATTCAGTGATCTTACTAAGGACTATAGCCCGGGAGACAGCCTCTCAGACAGCTCTGAGCACCTGTTCCAAAGAGGTAAGGGAGGAGCCAGGATATATTAGAGTTTTTGCTGAAGAAAAAACATGGAGACAACCATCAAAGATTACTGCTAATAACAAGAAACAGACATTTCAAGTGAATGATTTTAGTGTTTTTCTGTGTATGGGAAGATGCAAGAGTCTGGGCTTACAGAAATCATTCCTTTGATATGCATCGTAACTATCTAGGGCCAGTATCATTTTTCTCCATCCTGAAATCCCCTCAGGATGTGGAAGGTGGCTGCAGTGGCTGGTGGCTTGATGGCGGGCAACATTCATTGTTTCCCAGAATGGAAGGCAAAATTTTGTTTACTGACATGGCAGGCAACATTTTTTTGTCCACACCGGTGTCAAAACTTAAAAGTCCTATATCCCGGGAACCCTATCTGCAAGTTGGGGCAAAAAAAAAAAAAAAAAGATGAACACATAAGTCAAGCTCTTACAGGTCCTCACCAGCCACCTTCACCTATAACCTCTTAAGGTTTAACCTTTCTGAGTTTAATTCACTTTCCTCTGCTTTCTCTCAAGGCCTTGAACTCTGAAAAACTAGAGTACTTTTCTTCTGGCTGCTACTCCAGATAGGCAATTCTCTGAAGCGAGTGTGTCGCCAGGTCTCTTCCCACTGGAATTTCCCAAATATTGTGTCTTTGTTTTCTGGGCTTTCAGATTTCTGGGTCCCAGCCCTTTTCCTCAGAGTGGATTCACTAAGCCCCTCTCACCTCAATCCACCGTCTCCCACTGAGCTCTTTCCCAGCTCTTCCTTCCGCCCTAAAATCCTCAGCCACACCCTCCATCGCTACAGTCTTTGTTTCTTTTCAGGTCAATTAGCATAAGAAAATCGTATGATACACAATTCAATTACCTTCCATTCCTCTAGCTTAGAAATACTATCAAACCCCTATTAGAATTTGGGTGGAAGATATTTAAACTGTTTTGTTTTGCATTGAGTACAATAGTCTAAAGGAAGCATCTTCTTTTCCTAAACATAGTTGGGATGGGGTACAGCTATTTCCTTTTTAAAAGAGTTATCCCCAATTTAAACTTTTGGTCTCTTTCCC